GAGGGACTTTCACCCAGCCCCTAGAGCCTGGCACTCGGAACTCAGACTTCTAGCCTCTCAAACTGTGAGAGAATAGAGTCCTGTTTGTTTAAGCATCCCATCTGTGGTATATTCCTGTACTAGGGAACGAGAACAGTCCATGTGGGCCTCAGTAACATGGTGGTAAGTTCAGACATAGGTTTACTTGCCTACAGTATGTGGTTCGGACAAAGTCAGAAGATACATGGAATGGCTCAGCCCTCTGCACCCACGTGGTGCTGTTAGTTGCTGTTGAATCAACTCCAAAGCATGGTGACCTTGTGTATCACAGAATAAAACGCTGCCCCGTCCTAAGCCACCTTCATGATCCCTAGTAAGTTCAAGGCCATGTCTTGGCTATCGTGTCATATTTTGAGTGCCTTCCAGCCCCAGGGGCTCTTTTTCTACCACTACACCAGACAAGGCTCTGGTGTGATCTGTAAGGTTTCCCAGGCTAATTTTCAGAAATGGATTGTCAAGCCTTCCTTCCTAGTCTGCCTTAGTCAGGAAGTTCTGCTGAAATCTATCGTGGGCGACCCTGCTGGTTTTCAAGATACCAGTTGGGGGTTCAACTTCTGGCAGGAGCAAGCACCGTACAATGAACTACTAATAGACGGGTGAGGTTGCCTCTAGCAGCCCCTACTATACCTGGAAGTGTAGACATTTGAGTGCCACCTACTGTCCCTGGTAGACTTCAGGCTCTTGGGGGAGACCTGGAGTTTTCCCCAAGTGCTGGAATCAACAGAGGATGCCTATAGAGTCAGAAGACCTGGATTCTGGCTTCTCCCTGCATTTGTTCCTCCAGGAGAAAAACCATGCTAACAAGTGCTGCCATGTCGGGTGCCGTGAGGATGAAGGTGCTTCTCTGCAGAGTCCTGGATTGAGGCCTGGCACCTATAGGCTCTCTCGGGTTCCCTTCATTCAATCTAGTAAACATTTATTGGGAACCTACTATGTTCCAGACCCTTTTCTAGGTACCAGAGATGCAGCAGAAAGCAAAATAGATAATGTCTCAGTGCCCACAGGGCTTACGTTTCTCACTGGGGAAGAAAGGAGACAAATCAATATATAATGTCACGGGTGGAGGTGCTGGCAGGGACCAGTGTGAGGGGTAGAGAAAGCTGGGGGTGGTGCTATCTTTCTAGTCAAAGTGGTCAGGCCAGATGCCTCTGCCAAATAGACCCTGGGGAGGGGGTAAGGAAGTGAGGTACATACGGAAGAACATTCTCGTTTTGCTGCCTCTGGGCACACCAGAGCCTAACACTTAATAGCTTGTGGGAGCTCTGGTAGCGTAGTGCCTAACGCATTTGACTGCTAACCAGAAGGCTGGTGGTTCAAGCCCACCAGCCACTCCTTGGAAAGAAGGTTGGGCAATTTACTTCTGTAGTGATACCACCTCAGAAACCGAAAGAAGGGTTGCTATTCGTCGGATCCAACTTGACGCCAGTAAGTTTGGTTTTTTGGTTTTTGTGTGTATCTTAATTTTTAGGAGCTCTGGTGGTACAGTGGTTAAAGCATCTGGCTGCTAACCAAAAGGTTGGCAGTTCAAACCCATCAGCCACTCCTGGGGGAAAGATGTGGCAGTCTGCTTCCATAAAGATTTATAGCTTGGAAACCCTGTGGGGCAGTTCTACTCTGGGTCATAATGAGTTGGAATCAACTTGATGGCAGCGGATTTTTTTGTATCTTAATTTAGTCAACCATTTCCTTATTAATGGACATTTGAGTTGCCTCCAATTTTTGCCACAATAATCAATGCTGTGATAAATACCCTTGTACATATATCATGCAAAACTCGTGTTTTCTTGCTGTGGGATGCATTCCCTAAGTGAGATGTATTACCTAGAGGAAACAGCATCATCCAAGGGAATGGGGGATCCTTTTGGTTAATGGTCATTTTTTTTTCTTCTTTCCTTTAATTCCAGTTATGCTGCTGTTGTTGTTATGTGCCATCGAGTCGGACCCGACTCATAGCGACCCCTCTTTGGGTTTACGAGGCAGTATCACTACGGAAGTAGATTGCCCAACCTTCCTTCCAAGGAGTGGCTGGTGGGTTTGAACCACCAGCCATCTGGTTAGCAGTCAAGTGCCTTAGGCATTATGCTACCAGAGTTCCCAACCGTATAATTCCAGTTATACAGCCCTATAATTCAATAGCATCAGATTGAGACCTACGGTGTGGGGGGTGCCAGGAGGGTGCCCTTTGTCCCACCCGCAGGGTGGTCTTCTCACTGTGCTTTATGCTGGGGCCACCATCCCACATTTCACCATGGAAAAGAGCAGCTGAGAGCAGCTTATCTAAGGAGGGGTGGGGCAGAGGGCAGAGGGTGTGGGCCAATTCCAGGGCTACCCACATCCTAGCTACTGGCTATGGCTACAGCTTCTAGTCTGAGCAGGAAGTGTGTGCTCAGGCAGATAAAAGACCTCACAGTTGCTCCCCCACATCACTGGACCCCCAACAAGCTGTACAAAAGCTGTGTTTGCCAGGCCCATCATACATATTTCCTAAGAGAAGTGACATGGAAAACTGGTGTTGGGGCCTCCTTCTAAGGTTGGGATACCTTAGAGGGTTGGGATACCTTACAGGGCTGGAGTACCTTACAGAGTTGGGGTACCTTACGGGGCTAGGGTACCTTACAGGGTTACGATACCTTCCAGGGTTGGGGTACCTTCTGGGGTTGAGGTACCTTACAGGGTTGGGGTACCTTATAGGGCTGGGAAATGATGCCATTTTAACAGCATCCTTCATCTGCCTGCCTCCCCCAGTTCTCAGTGGGACAAAGATCCTTTATGGAGCAGGGATGTCATGGGCCTAGGATAGACGTGGAGCCCTGACTCTGCAGAGTGCCTTGGGTAGCACTGTTCACTTTTCTCCACTGTGATTCAGTCACAGATACAGCTGGTGGTGTGTCTGTGTCTCATACTCCTCTGTGAGCCTCACATTCCCGAATCCTCCCTCTATCACCGTCTCTCAAGCCCCTAATACAGCCTCTGCATGCTGTAGTTTTCAGTAATTAGTACATCAAGAAGTAAGTAAGTAAATGACTTGACTGAGATGAGCTTTGAGGTCTACTGGCCACTGGGGGTGCCCAGCTGGACCTCCAGGCCTCCATGCTGCTCACCTTAATGGCTTTGGCTCTGTCGATGAGCCCGTCATCCTGAGAACTGCCAATGAGCAGATCGACCTTCGCCCATGGGGCTCTCTGCAGTGCCCGGGCCGGTGCCTCATGGAGATATTGGCCATCAACCACGGGACCCCAGTAGTGGAAAGGGCCACTCACAGCCAGGAGCTGCAGAGGGTGCAAAGGGATGGCATGATTTGTAAGGTTTCTGTCCTTTCTATGATGCTGGAATAATCAGTTCTGCTGCTTAGCTTAAGCTGGGCTTATCAGTGTGACTACCAGCCTTAGTTACCCATTGGGGTCTCTATTGGGAGACAGGAGTGAAAGGACTGGAACACGAGGCTCTGTCAACCAGGTGACAGAGCAGGGCTGGAAGGTGCCTTCCCAGAGCTTCTCTGCCAAGGTAACAGGCCACAGCCCTGGGCCTGCAGGTGTGTGAGCAAGGCAGGAGGGCCTCTGACCAAGGATGAGGTGATTGCCAAAACCAGGTTCCACCAGGTGCATGTCATCTGCTCAACCACCATCCAATAGCTGTATTTAGTGAACTGAGGATAAGACCCACTCCATGTCTGTGAGTCTAGGCTCATTACTGATGGGGTCAAACATCAGCTGAGGTGACAGTGGTGTTTCTGTCCCCATCACTACTGTCAAGGACCAGCCAGAGAACGTGGGCTGTGAGCAAGTTCTCTGCAGGCTGGAGAAGGGAGCAGAGTATCATATCCAAGAGGACAGGGTGGCCAAAACCCAGGATCTGACCGTGCAGCCACGTCTGTAACACTCAGTGCACTGCAGCTGTTACATGACTGGTGCCTATCACGCCCAGCAGTGGGAAAAGCATGTTGCATTTGCTATCTCATCTCCAACTCTGAAGGTCTGCATTATTACCCCATTTCACAGATCAGAAATCAAGGCTCAGCAAGATCTAACTTCAGTCCCATGCTGGTTCATTACATATTGTGGCCCATGCATGGCACTGAGGGCCAGGGACTCTGCATCAACTTGCCATGTGGCCTTGTCTGGGCCATGTCCCTTTTCATTGGTAAAAGACCAGAGAAGGTCCCCAGCCCACTTGCACCCTAGTGCTCACCTTGGTCTGGGCATCATTGAGGACGCTGGCGGGCTTCTGGCGGAGGCAGGACACCAGGTCTTGGCTGGGAGAGATGGGACAGCCGACCTCCTTCGCCAAAGCAGCTGCCTGCTGCTGTGCCCTCTCATGGCTGGTGACAGCGGCCGGTGAGAAGGCAGAGCCTCCCTGGAAGGAGAGCAGACTCAGGGACCATGGTCTACATCATCCATCGCCTCCTCCTCCACCCCGAGAGGTGAGGCCACATCAGGGCCCTTTCTGGGGTCACCCACAAGCATTGGGAAGGTCAGGACTGACCAGTAACCCATGAAAATGTTGTACAGTCTCAAGCAGGTGCCCTCCCGGGCCTCAGTCTCCTCACTGTAAATGAGGGCTGTGGTCTAGGGCACCTTCAAACTCTTAGCTTGGACACCGACCTTGTATATTGAGGACAAAGGGAATGTATTGTGAACAGGGGACAAAACCAGAACTGTCCTTTGGGACTACACCCCCACACACCCCCTCCTGGGCTCCTTGAAATAGCAAGTTTCCTTGTTCAATTATAGTGTTGGACTTTAACATAGATGCCCCCATGGAAGGTGAGAGAAACATGGTTAACAAGAAAGTGAATTGTTCCAGAAAATAAGTCTCTGCTAAAATGATGGGTTTCTGGGAGCATTTCCTTCCTAAGAATGTAGGTGGTGGGAGCTAGGTTCTGGGACAGTGATCTCTGTGCTGGACCTGGGTAAACTGGATCATCGGCCCAGGGCGGAACAGAGGAGCTGAGGAGGGCCAGCCAGCAACGACTGCAGGACTCTGTAATCCCAGTGGCTCCCCTGCCTGCAACTTAGACCTGGCCACCCACTAACGAGTTGGGGACAGCAGTGGGTGGAGGCAGTCAGCTACCACCACTCAGAGCAATACCAGCCACTCCTGTGGATTGAGGGCTTCCAGAATTAACCCAAGAGCTTCCCTGTTAACTCACTCCATCCTCACACCAGCCCTGTAAATGCATTGCTGCCATCTGCGCCATTTTGCAGATGTGGGAATAAAGAAGTACGGCCAAGGTCAAAAATCTTGTAACAGGTAGAGTCAGACCATGGAGTCAAACAGCTGAGCTCAGAGCCTGTTCAGCTCCGGGACCCTGGAGAGGGGAAGGTTCTATTCTGTGACCAGTAAACTGTGTGATCTTGAACGAGTCCCTTCTCTAGGGATGACTCCCTGTCTGTAACATGAGCAACTGGACTGGAGAGTACTGGTCATGAAGCAGCTACACCTGCCAGGCCCTCACTGTACCAGGCATGTTGTTTGCCTCATTTCATGTCATCATCATGAGAGTAACATACAGTAGGTATGGTTATCACCCCCAGTTTGCAGACACACAAACTAAGGCTCAAGAGAAAAGGGAGACTTCTCATTTGTCTAGTGTCCAGTATGTACCAGGATCTAGGAGCTCAACAACAACTAATAATAATAGCTAACATTTACTGAGTACTTACTAAGTTTCAGCCATAGTCCTAAGCACTTTACATGCATTAACTCATCAGATCCTCTCCATAACTCAAGGAGGTAGGTGGTAGCATTTGGCTGCTAACCAAAAGGTCAGTGGTTCAAACCCACTAGCTGCTCCATGGGAGGAAAATGAGGCAACAAGGGGTTGCCAGGAGTTGAAGCCAACTTCATAGCAACAAGCCGGGAGGCCATCAGTGATGAACACTCTCCCCAGGGCCTGAGGTGTGACAGCGTCACAATCAAAAAGGGTCAAGGGGGGCTTAGGCCCCCTGCTGCGGGCTTCCCGCGCCCTCAGGGTTATTTTTCCAACAATGGGGAGCCAGCTTTTCTGAGAAGTGACTGCCTGGATATGCTTTCCCTTAACAGAAAACACACACACAGACACGTGCACACTTAAGATGTTCAAGGTCAAAGCCCCTTGTCCTACAGAGCACACTGAGCCTGCAGCCTGCAGGACGGGCGGAATGTGGCCGCTCACCCGGCTGCCCCCGGCTAGGCCGTGAGGAGACAGGAATTTCAGGATGAGGCCCTCTGACCTTTTCAGCTTTCTCGTCAGCTATGAAGCGCCAAGCTTCCTGATATGGTGAGGAAGTGGTTAAAGGCGTGGGAGGCCCTGCCACTGTGAGCTGGCTGGGGAACTTGCCACCCTCTTTGAACATTTCATTTTAATCAATTTTCTGAAGAAAACCTATTTCTTTGTGGAAAATCAGTGGTTAAGCAACCCAACGGCCCTATGTTTAAGACGCCTGACTGGAGCAATAGGGGACACACAGGGCAGAGTCACGTAGCACATGGGCTTTGAGGCAGGAGGAACAGGTTCAAACCCCAGCCCCGCTGTTCACAGCCTCATTTCCTCCTCTGGGAATGAGCGCAATACACTATGTTCCACGGGGTGATGGGGCTGAGGCATGGGCCGACACAGGCCAGCACAGCGGGTGTGCTGCACCTGTAGGTGGCAGAGTTACAGCTGTGGTCGCATGGGAGGCCGCGTGGCCTCTGCAGCAGGTGCAGTGTCCATTACAGGCAGCAGGGCCTGCTCGTCCCCAGGCGGCACCCGTAGTTCCGAGCCTCCCCCAGCTCCTGACTGTATCTCCCTCTGACCTGGCCTTTAAACGGCAGCTGAGTTTCCGCTTGTTTTTCTTTCTTTCTTCATTTTTTTTTTAACTTTAAAAATAGCGCAGCCAAAACCACAAATGCTGACCACTGCCTTTTCTCCCTGAGGCCTGTGGACGTCCTAAGGTGACTTGACCTCAGTTAACCACTGTGGTCACCTCGGAGGCAAGAACTCCCCTGCCCAAGCACACACAGTCAGACACAGACACACTCAGACACACACACTCAGATACACAGACACACAGACATATTCAGACGCACCGACACACGATACACAGGCACACTCAGATACACACAGAGACACACAGATACACTGACAAACTCTGACATAACACGCTCAGACACACACACAGATACACACAGACATACTCAGTTACAC